TGTCACCCTTTTTATCAATTATTCATTTTATTTCCAGGATATTATTGGCTATTACAATATCTTAAAGTGTTACCTCCATGTTTCTCTCTAGGAAGTTCAGAGTTTCAGTTTCTTCTCCATTCTCCTCTTTGCTCTCTTCTTCCTTCTCCTCTTGCTCCCTTCTCTTCCTCTTGTCTTTCTCTTCCTCTTCCTATCTGAATGGGATACTTCCAAAGATCTCTCTTCAAGTTCAGATATTCTTTCACCTTATCTAGTCTGTCGAGCTTTCTGACTGAATTTTGACTCATTCAACTTAAGATTTTCATTTTTCTTTCAACATTTATATCTCTTGCTGAATTCCTCATATATCTTACATCATCTTCCTTATTTGCATTGAAGTGTTTATATTCTCTTGGATCATCTATTTTTAATGATTATTTTTAATCTTTTAAATTCTTTATCAGCCATTTATTCCATTTTTATTTGTCTTGCATCTGTGGCTAGACAATTACAATCTTTGGGCAGTATCATTTTTTTCGTATTTCTCCTTACATTTAGATTTGTGCATCTGGTGAATCAGATGTCCACCATTTTAATAGTGTTCATAGTAGGTGGCTGTTTTCTGAAGATGTGTCTTAGGATGCCAGTTTAAGTAACATTGGCTTTGATTTTACCTGGGTATCACAAGCCAGCCTTCCTGTTGCTTCTTGGTTATCATGAATGAATTTGGACACAGTGGGTAGCATATGTGAGTAGGAGAGACTGACTGTCCTTGTAGGCTATGCAAGATTGGGGCACTGCAGCAGTTCAGGGACATGTGGTGTTAGACAGCAGCAGTTTGGGGTTCTCATTATGTGGCTACTCCCACAGTGGGAATGGTGGCCCATGCCAGTTGATGGGTTTCTTTCAGGCACTTGGGACAGTAGCTGTTACTTAACAATAGGCCTTGACACTGGCAACTCCAACAGTGGTTAGAAGCCTGGGACACTTGTCCCCAATCCCACTGTATTGCAGGCTCAAATGCTGCATAGGGAGAGGCAGTGGTAGGAACCAGACCACCTTTCTTTGTGTCACTCCCACATAGTCCTGACACCAGTGGCTGTGTTCCTCTCTACTGCTACTGTTAAGAGTCTACCTGAGAACAAACAGCACTTTGGTCCCCACCCATGCACATGCAGAGATGGAGTAGTGGTCAGGGCTGTTCTCCACAACTCTGTCAGCTATGCTGCCCACCCAGGAATAGGCAGAAGAATATGGCCAAAGCCAGGTAAAGATCCTCTCCAGGCCTCCTCCAGACAATGTTCCCAGAGGTAGGGTGACAGAGCTGTGGTATTGCCCAAGATCACCTCAGCATGCCCGTGTGCACAGCATCAATGGAGCCACAGTTTTCCCTGCCCACCCTGTCAGCAGGTACCTGTGTACAGCATAGGAAGAGGGACAGCACCTGCCTTCAATGCAGGTGCTGATTAAACCCATACATTGGTGGCCACACACTTGTTCTCAGAAGGCAAGTTCTCTGGTCTCCGGGTTGTCCACCACAACTCCCATACCTACAGTGCAGGGCAACCAGATGGTTTGAGTCAGAATCACTCTGCTGGACCAAATGACTTTGGCCTGGCAGCTACCCAAAAAGTCAATGCATGGGAACATCTGTGAGGTCCCAGAGATGGGAACACGAAGGGGTTTCTCACTGCAAGAGCCACCAAAGTCAGGCAGCAGCTCCCTTCTTAAGAAGGCTCCAGACCATCACACCCCGGATGTTTCCAAGATGACAGTCCTCTTCCAAGATTTCAGGTAACCTTTCTATCTGGGTGGACTGTCAGCCTGTGAGGACCATGAAACAGTAGCCAGGATGGTTAGCACATGCACTGGAGTTTGGTGGAACTCTCACCCTTAGCCCTAAAAAAGTGCAGTCCCCCTCCCCAGTGGTGAGTCCCTAGTGGTAGGTGCTGTTGCTGTTTATTTTAGTATGCTGTTTACCTAGATCTCTGAATCTTGCAAGGTTTCAGTCTCTTTCTTGCTGAATCCCAGGGTTCCCCCAAATTGCATATCTCACAGTGCAGCCGTCCAGCTGCTACCTCGGCTCTCCCGTGGAGGAAGAGGTGAGTGCTGAGCATCTCTAGTCAGCCACATTGAAATCTCGTAAAGTCCCTGTCTTGTAGCATGTTACTCATTCGCAAACTTTTATATTTCCGCGTTTTTTTCCCTTTTTGTTTTAAAATTTATGCCATTAATTCAGCTGGTACTTAGTACAGTATGAGTTCGGAATCTTAAGTTTGTTTTCATACAGTGGACAGTCGTACTGGTGGTAACTTTTCTTTAATGAAACAAAATTTTCTCACATAGAAGTCATCTTTTTATAGATTAAGTTCTCACAACACTCAGATGTATGTCTAATCTTTTCATTTTGTTCCACTACTCTATTTACCTATCCTTTGTTGATACCATCCTGCTTTAGTTTTGGGGAAACTTTTTATATTTGATAAATAAGTTTATTTGTTTTTAGTCTTGTATATTGTTCCATATGAACTTTGACACTGAGTCAAAAAAGATTTGAATGAACATGCATTATGAATACTATATAGTGCTTGATATTTAATATTCCCTCTCAAGAAAAAGGCTTCATTTATTCAGAATTTGCTTTGTATCTTTCAACAAGATTTTGTAATTCCCTTCACGTCTTACGTCTTTCACGCTCAATTATTTCTAAACATTTTTTACTTTAGCTACTATATAATTGCTCCCACTTCTATTACTAACTTGTTTTTGCAAGGGGTCTCCATACCTACTTTGCATTAATCCACCCATGCTCACCCAGTCTCACCTTTGTCTCAGCCAGCCGAGCCAGTTTCCACCTCATCTTCCTAGGCGACCTTCCTGTACCTTGTCTTGACTTCCACGTGTTCTTTGGCTGACTCCTTTAGGATTGAAATGTCACATCCCTCAGTATCTTACTTCCTCCACAGTACTCATCGTAACTTACACGTCTGTACTTGTTAGGGTTTAAATATGAATTGTCCCCCAAAGACTCGCGTATTGAAAGACCTTTAATGCAGCCATGTTCAGAGATGAGGCTGAGGGGATAAGAAGTGCTGATCTCATCGATGAATTAACCCACTGACGGTTCATCAACTCAATGGACGGTGAGGAGGGTGGGGGAATAGGCCTCTGGGATATGCCTTTGAAGGCTGTCTCTTCTCTGGCTCTTCCATCTGCTTTCTGACTGCCACGAGATGAACACTTTTCCCCTGCCATGAATTGCACTATGCTTCTGCCTTGGAGCCACCTGATATGGACTGACTGAAACCTCTGAAACCGTTAGCCACAATAAAACTTTTCCCCCTTCAAATTTTATGCCGGGTATTTTGTCTCAAACCAAAAGATGATGTGTGTGTATTCCTATTTTACATGTGAGGAAGTAAGGATTGGAGAAATTAAGTAATTTACCTACAGTATATTTCTAGAAGGGGGGTATTAGTTTGACGTCTGAACGTGCCCCCAAAGCCTCATGCACTAAGAGGTGGCACTTCTGGAAGGTGATGATTATGGTGCATTAGAGCTGACTTCCGGGTAGGCGGGAGGTAGTGGGGAGGCGGCCACTGTGGGTGAGACCTGGCAGGTTTACCTTCCACCCCAGCCCCTCCACTGATCTGCTTCCCAGCCACCATGCTGGGAAGCTCTTCCTCTGCCAGGCCCCTGTGCCATGACGTCCTGGCTTGGAGCCTGTGGACTATGGACTGAAACTTCTACAAACTGAGAGCCAAAATAAACCTCTGCTCTTCTAATTTGTGGGTTTTGGATATTTTGTCCTAGCGACAAAGAAAATTACTAAGGAATGAAAAATGGCCTCTTAGGTATTGTAACACTCCTGGTGAAAATAATTTATTCAAAGCCCGTAGTTACAACTCCTAACTCTAAAGTTTCCTTTTACATTATCACTTAACAATTTAAAATTAGATTTAGGTACCCAGGTGAATAATGGAGTTGATATAGAAGACTAGACAGGTAACTCCCTAAGATAAACCTCTCAAAATAATCACATAATTCTCTGAAAGACAATCTGACGAGTCTGTTTTAAATCACCATTTTACCAGAAATTCACATGTAAAAACCGGGTAAGGACTTTGTGAAAGTTTTTTTAATAATTCAAGGTCTCGGGCTGGGGATTTAGCTCAGTGGTGCCGCCTGCCTCGCAAGCTCAAGGACCTGAGTTTGATCCTTAGTACCAAAAGGGGGGGGGGGGAAATCAAGGTCTCAGTGCCAACTTCTTTGTCAATGCCATTTTGATTTATAAAAGTGTACCACTTATATGGCTGCAGTTATAAATACATTTATAAGCATTTCTGAAACTGACTTTTCCAGTTAACAAATAGCTTTGAAATAGTTTGTAACTAAGCCCAGACACTGTGTTGTGGCTAAAATTTACTATTTTACAATTATGCATACACATCCTCCCTACACACATAATTAGTCGAAGGCTCCAGATTATAAAATTAGCCACTGTTCACTAGGATCTACTTGGCCTACAACTAGACATGTAAGGTGTATCTATTCTTCACCAGCCGAGCAGGTTTTAACCTCAACATTTGCAGGCCTAGTAGCAATCTTCATTTATTATGTGAAAAAAGAAAATTCAATAAACCGTAACACTGTTGGCACATTACAGTGACAGGAATTGAATCTATTGTCTGAGTTTCAGATTCCAAAGGTTCAAAACAGAAAAATGAATATTTTGACTTTTAGAAAATGTTTCTTAGTCAAAGACAGAAAGTGAGGCACTGAAGAGAACAGGGCACACAAAGATGTGCCTTCGTACATGCAGCTGGAAACCCGCATCTGACAGAGCTCTGCTGCCACTCGTGAGCATTCCGGTCACCCTGGACTGTTCCAACTTTCGAGGCTTCTTCAAAATGGCGAAGTTATGGAAATGTGTTAAACACGTTTCTGCAGGCTGTTATGTGAACAGTGGTAGACTGAGGCTGGTAGTAGGGATTCGTGATACACAAATTTTACAGTACTAATTTTTTATTTTTATATATTTATATTAGGATATTGTACAATTTTCAAAGCTAGTAACAGAATTTTGGTGTATTTAAAGCATAACAAAATAAAATATTTCACAAAACTCATTACAGTACTATTGAAATTATGCATCTGTTATAAACAATACATTCATTTTAAAGAATAAACATTTAATGTGAATAACATTTTGGTTAAAATAAATATCATGGTAAATGTCAACAGCAATACCCGAACACATGGATAAGAGAGGTGTTTTGTAATAGACACAATGTAGAAAGGTACAGCATTCATGAATTGATTGTTACTAAATTTACAATCACTGCACATTGTTGAGCACTTAATTTACATAGGGATACCCTTCATTCACTATTCCTAAACCTCAGCATACAAAACAAAGTTACTCCACATTTTCCCTGGGCAACTGGTACCAACACCTAAATAAGGATTAGAATCAGACATACCACTCATTTTACTGCTCCAAACAATTGAAACATTTTAATATAAAAAAATTTACTTATAAGCAGAAATATAAAGATAGCATTTTATAGGTGATCATGAAGATTAGAACCTCTAATCATCTCTATAATCCTTTGCAATGATCCCATTAAAAATTAAATTTGGATTTACAGAGTCTTCAGGAAAATTATAATATCTGGAACAAAAAATTTCCCTGCATGGAAAATAGTAATGAATTTCACTGACCATTAAATTCTTTCCAGCTATTTCTTTTTAGTAAATAAGACACTAAGAAGAAATATTTAAATCTTAAAAGTCACTGTGATGAAGTTAAGTTAATGAATTTTAGGTCCATGTATTCCTAAAGATTGTACGAAAAAGAAAAGTATCTTTTAACCACAAGACATTTCACTGCAGTCAATTATATTACATTAAAGTGAACACGACACTAGTGGTTAATAGAAACAATTCTACTCACACTTCTCGGGAAAAATCTATCGACAATTAGTGTAAATGTTATGAGTCACTAGACCAGGAAATACAATGCATTCAGCCCTCATAAAAATGACCGACCAGGTTTTTCCTTTGCTTATTCCAAAATAAAATTACCCTTCAGATATCATACACAACCAATTACATTTGGAAAAATAGAAGATTTTTGTACTTTTGCCCTTTATATTTCTAAAGTTTACAACTGACCTGAAATATTCAAATGATCTAAGAAAAACACAAGATGAAAAAAAAATCTAGTTCTATGGCTAAAGGTAGGTGCTCTCTGAATAGGAGGTTTTCTCGTTGGCAGGATAATCCACCCCAAGGTTTTATAGTGGCATGCAGAGTCCTTTAACAGTGCCTGCCACTCGGCCATTTGGCTTCACAGTTCTATAAGGAACCGGTTGCTACTAAGATGAAGACGTCTGAGAGAAATGAATCTCCGCATCTCCACAACAGCATTCACTAAACTCTGCCTATTTCCTAAAACTAAATTAAGCATTACCATCTCTCATCTTCATGTACAAACACAAGTTCTTTCCTCAAAAGCTTCTCAACAGAAAGGTTAATGTCATAACAATTCTGGCTCCAGTAATGGCCAGTTTTCATTTCCTTGAATATGTTCTAAAATTGTAACCACGTCAATTGAATTGAGACTTTATCAACATTCACAGGTACAGTATAACACACATTCTTTCTTCCTCTCTTAACAACATATACTTGCATATAGGTGGCCCAAATTTTAAAAAGTTAAAAAAATGTTTTCAATTGGAGAAAGTATTACTATCTTTTAAAAGGGAAATGTTCCCAGAGAATTGGAAACATTATAGGGTAAAATGTACACACAATATAAATAAGAAAGTAACTTGAAGACTATAAAAAATTTCTGAAGGGAACCAATCAGAACTTTAACAAAATCTTCAATAAAAACATATGCATTTAGATTTATAAACAAATATAGTACTGCAAGATTATTCAAAGAATAATTTTCAAATGTACAAAGAATAATAACACACAAAGAGCCTTGAGCAATGTGCAACTTTAAAAGCTATCACCCAAGCCAAAGTAACCCTTAACCACTTTATAACTGATTCATTTATACCATCTTACTGTAAATAGAATATCAAAGATATTAAATAAACTCTTCAGTGCCTGACTCACATTTTGTCCCCAATCTTTTCACATTTAATAGTTGCATTTTGAATGTATAAGCTAAGAATTTAAATGTCTCTCAGCTAGTTTATGCTTACATTTCTTATAAGAATTATATCGGAGAGCAATAATCCTAAGAACTAATACACTTCAAACTATCTCGATGTCCATGAATGACTACAAAAAGCAAACAAATCAAATATTCAGATTTGCAAGTTTTTAGAATGTTTAAATTATTCCTAAAGACACATCTTCAAGGCAGAGGGATTTGAGTATAAAAGATCATATACAATTATGAAAACACCTAGTTTCCTAAACTTAAGGCAATTAGAATTGAGAGGAAAACTCTATCCTGTTTGGTGGCTCTGCAAATATTCAGGTCTCACATCTACCCTGATGTATGCAGGATGCAACTTCATTGTTTGGCACCGACACTCGAAGCACAATTTATCATCAGAAAATGTATTGCATATACAGTAACTCCAAATCTGAAAACCTTTGGCGACTGCTATCATGAACTGGTTTCTTTGCTAACATGCAGTTTGGTGATCCCGAAGTCATTTTGGGTTTGCAAGAAGGTGATTAGAATGGTACAAAATGAAGCTTATATGAAAACTGGTTAAGGATTTAAAGAACATTAGCTCTGAAATATTATTAATCTTAACACCCAGACAAAAACGGGGAGGTATGATTTGCACAAAATACTTTAAATTATTTTGGTTGTGTTCTTCATGGTTCTGTGTGTTTAGCTGCTTGCAGTGCATGCGTGCATCCTTTTAGCTACATCATAAACATAGGTGATGTCTGGTCGCTTCTCTGGATCCGGGTTGATGCACACGTTAACTAACTGTCGCAGCTGCAAAGAAAAAACAACAGAGGATACTTAATCCAACTTTCTCAGTTATTTTTAAAGAAATTCTGAATACCTATATATTAAGGAAAGTACATTTTCTGACTCAAGTTTTCCTTTTAATAGAAATATGTAAGATTAGTGGCAATAGTTTTTAAATCAGATAAATATTCCAAGAAGTAAAGTATGATATATTTACCACAAGGAGAAGCTTTAAATAAGACTCATTTTTAACAGAAATTTGATCGGAAGATTCCAGTCACCAAAGACAGGATTTTAAACTATAAGACTACAAGTTAACTGTAGATAATACACACACGTATGTAACTCAGAACTTACTACATTGGCTTTGATGGTAAGTTAATCCAAAGTATAAAGATCAAAAGGAAAGATAATAGGATACAGAAAGATAGAACTTTTGCAAAAGAGAGGGAGACCAAGAGACAGAGGGAGGGGAGGGGATAAAGAAGAACCAAGATGTGTTATGTACATGTACCAACTTCTCGAAAATATACCACTATGTACTGCAAATATATACTCATAAAAGTCTTCTCCAAGGCAATAGGGTAGAGGTCAATCATATATATTTACCATGAACCATTGTATAAAAGTGTTTTATATTTTATATGAGAAACCATTCCTCTAAACTAATAGTATAAATTGTGAGCAAGGTAAATGTATTATTCTAATTTTCAACTGTGTGAGGTAGCATTTACATATCTCCATTTTGTAGACAAAAAGAGTTGAAGTTTCTATTACAGAAAAAAAAGAACATCTGAATAAATAAGAAAATATCTTCCTTTATGGGCCACATCCACCAAAAAGGGAATACAGAATTTTCTTCTCAATTCTAATTGCTGTAAGTTTAGGAAACTAGGTGTTTTCATAATTGTATATGATCTTTTATACTCAAATCCTTCTGCCTTGAAGATGTGTCTATAGGAATAATTTAAACATTCTGAAAAGTTGCATTAACTTAATGGCAATGTAGTTAGTAAGTATAGTTTCTTCAGAGTCCTCAACTTGTACCACAAAACAATTTTCAACAAGCAAAAACAGTAGTGACAAAACTTGTGGGCTGTTAATACTGGTGTGAAGGAGGCAATGCTGGGGCAGACGTTATTCTGAAAGATGCGTGTTAAGGAGCCTGCCAGGTGAGGGGTCAGGGTTGGAGGAAGACAGTGTACATAGTGAAGCGGAAACCAGTCTTGGTGAAAAAACTCTGTACTCTTGTGCCCTCATGTAAGTCACTGACTGGGGGATTATTTCTACATCTGTTATAGAATGAGGTGAGAGTAGATGATTTGTAAGATTCTAGAAGAAAATTTAATGGTATAATTTTTGCCACACGTGGTAATTTACCAATGTTTGATGGTAATCAATGGTATACCCACATTGAGGGGGCCTGAAGATATCAATTATATCCCTTGCAAAAGAGCAGGGAATAGCATTAAAATAACTTTTAAGGAGTATAGTAATACACTGGGCATTTTATTAGGGTAATCTAAGAGAAATTTAAATCAGAAAGAGGTTGGCATTTTACCAGCCAAAATCACATGTATACAGTTATGCGCAACTCAGAAAACAGTAGGAGAGTGCTTATATGATACTTATATTTAAAAGGCTATGTTCTAAGTTGTCAAGCTGGCAGACTTTTTTTTTAGACAGAAAAATAATAAAGGAAGCAGAAAGGCTGGCAGGAAAAGATGATACAGAAACTACATTTAACCAGTTGCATCTGCAACAAATTTTATGGGTTGCTTTTTTACTGCCACATTCTTCAAACTGGTTCATCAACTGCACTTTTCCTGCACCTACTGACAAGAAAAGATTTGGTCCCAAGTACTCCTTGCATAAGGAAAAACCACTTCAGACTAGAGACAGAATGACGCAAGTTTAGCTGAAGAAGAAAGTGATTCTGTAACCTCTTCGAAATGAAGGATGAAACTAGAAACAAGGAGAAAAAGAATAAGGTAAACAGAGGAAGGGGGAGCGCCAGTTGCTTCTCAGCCACTCCTTAGGGACGCCCTTTCCCAGGGACATCAGGAGCCCTCAGAGACGGAACCAGAGCCATCCGGTTTTTCTCTCCCTAGCTGTTCAGTCTCCAGCACTTATGGTTTATCATAAAGAATTTTCTTTTCCAGAGGAATTACTGACAGCTCTATCACTGTATAAAACCAGATATATAAAATACAGATTATGCATGCCTCATCAATTTACGAATCTATTATAATTTTCTTACACGGTTTGTAATATAATGCATAAAATTTGCAAAGAAAATCCTGAAAATTAAAACTTTACTTTGGCAGTTGCTTTTCCTCATTTGCTGCAAAAAATAACTATATTAGTTTCTTTTCTGAATGCTATAATGCTTTCTTTTAGATTCTATCAAATACCACTTAGGCATTTGTAAAAAATTGCTATGAAGACACTCCCTGATGCCATTACTAATGGATTCTTATGTGAGATATTTCTATTGTAGTAGGACAAAATTTTGTCTTCAGGTACATTTCCTACATAAATACAATTTGCGTACTCCAGAAAATATGTGCTTAAAGCTGGTATGTAAGAAACACTCAGGGGCCAGGATTTAGCTCAGTGGTTCCATCACCTGCTTTGCAAGTGCAAGGTCCTGAGTTCGATCCCCAGTACCAAAACAAAAACAAAAACAAAAACCACTCTGCATTTTTACATGATTTAATTTATTCAATTTCATAAAAACTCTATAGGGTGGACAGTATTACAACAATAGTTTTACAAAGTAGTAATATTCCTAAGGTTACAAAGGCATTAAGGGGAAGGGCAAGGAATGGAACTGAAGCAGGCTCATTTCAGAGCCCAGGCTTTTAATACTATGGCACACTGCTACAAGAAAGTTCTAAGTTGGTCCACAGGTTTCCTCAAGGCCACCTCTGCAAAAAGATGGGGTGACTTTCCACACAGTCAAGGGTAGACTGTTAGGCTATTTGATTTTCATAAGATGGTCAGCTCTAATACCCATTACTCTGGATTCTAAAATTAATGGATCTGTCTTCCTATTTCATAGGCCAATTTGGACCAAAGAGAAACCAATAAATTTTGTCTGGAGCTCAGCAAAATTCATGAGATATAGAAGCCTACTTTATCCAAGAGAGATACTCTTAAATGATGACACAAACACATTCAGATAGTATTGTGATGAGAGTGCCAATTTAATGTTATTTCTAATCTAACTTATTCATAAAAGTGGCATTAACTCCAAACAAAATATACTTGAATTTTAATTTGGAACAATTTCCCTATTCTAGATAATAAACTTATACATAAGAGGCTTAGCTAAGTGCTAGGATGCTTGCCTGGCATGCAGGAGACCCTGGTTTCCATCCACTGTACTGCAAAAAATAACCAAACCAACTTACATAATAACCTCACAAATATAAAAAAATGACTAAATAGTATGTCATATTGTCATTAAATAATTAAAATCAGATTTGAGACTTCCTTCAATGTTAGTCTTATGTGTTTTGTAAAGTTCCTATAGACCACTGAAAACAATTTTTATATGGTTTATAACTTCATAATCCTTTGGACAATTACTTTAAAAATCTTTAACAGTTATCCAATACTTTGCAATGATTGAAAAGTATCATTATTAACCATGTTCAAGGAAAATGTATCAAGATAGTAAAGTTAAGAATTCTATCTATATTCTTTATGACAGGTTTTAACTTCTAAATATTAGGCACTAATTTACTCAAAAGAACCTTCTGAACTTGAGGGAAGCAGCTTTCTATTATTCTGACTTGTAGAAATAATTCTATGACCAGAATGTTACAAAATTAATAAAAATGAGTAAAAATTTCATGACTTCATTATCATAAAAATGTATTTAACTTTTTACTTGTTTGTAAAATATGTATATTTTGCTTTTAAAAAAATTATTTTATATAATATGTTAAAAATAAGGCAAAAGTAAATTTGAATATGCAAAAGCCTTTATAAAAATCAATAAGAAAACTTTAATTCGCATGCTTCAAATCAAAACATAAAGCAAAAATGATAAAATGAATTCTCTGTGACGTCTAAAGGATTATGAAGTCATGAGCCATGTAGAAATTAATGAATGTTTTCAGTAAATAAAATACTAATATATTTTGATCTATATGTTTCCAAAGAAGTATCAGAGCAAATAGTTTGAAACCAAAAATATTAAAAGGAAGAGAGTGCTAACAGTCACTGTTGTCTGTGTGATAACCAATTACAGACTAAGTTCTCTCACATACAGATAATAACAATAGGGCTCTTTGTGCAGTACAGCATTAGGTCACTAACAGAACCCTCAACAGAATAATAAAGACTAATGCTATTGGTACTGTTTCCTTCTCACCCCCATCTTAATCCCTCTGAGACCAATTGCCTCCCACATATAACCAGTTTCTATCTATCCAAGGACACATTTTAGCACCCCAATGTGGGTCTAATGCATTAAAGTACACTATATTTTAGAGCTTTAGATATTTATACAAAATGATTAGGTGTATCCAACTTGTACACCAAAGTGTCAGTAGTGACTGACTTGGGGGTAGAAAGAAAGGGAAAAGAAAGTCATCTTATACAGCTACAAGGTAATGCAATGACTATATTTCATGACTGAAGACCATTTAGCGTCTTTTAAAAACTAAAGGCTTATAGTTACACAGTATTGTAGGATCCCACAGGATGTGAAATACAGGCCACCATTCTGGATTTGTGTCTTCAAGGAGCAAGTCTCCAGCGTCACTTCAGAAGCACAGGTGAACAAAAGGCTTGCTTCAATATATTTTTTTTTAAAAAATGGAACATCAAAGCTTAAATATCTGATCTTACATGGCAACTCTTAGTAAGGTGGCCAACTGACATAAATGATGAGAATATCAAACTTATTAAAATAATTTTTAGGAAGGAAAATCAAGTGTTAATAGGTGTTTAACATTCAATGCAAATTTTAGTAATGGAACAATTACGTATCTCTGCATTTTAAGGTAAAA